CAGAGAGATTCCTGTACATGCAAACTACTTTACACAGAGAGATTCCTGTACATGCAAACTACTTTACACAGAGAGATTCCTGTACATGCAAACTACTTAATGCATGGCTATTTTTGTAATTGCAATGTACTTTATGGATGGTAATTCCGATACATGCGAACTAGTTTATGCAGGTTTATTCCTTTGCATACAAACTAGTTTGTGCGTAATTCCTGCGCATGCGAACTCCTTTACTAATTGAAATTGACTGTGTGTGTGGGGGGGGGGAGAACTAGTTTCGTAGCTATATATTTGCTAGCTATCTAATGTCGTATTTATCTGTATGACCAGGGGACGATAAATTAAAACGTGCTATAACTATGTGTATATAACAATTTTGATAGTTTCTAGGCTCACTCCTTAGCGTAAATGTGATTTACACACGGTATAGTACCATAGTACTTTAAGCAGTTCATAAAATGACGTGAACTTTTGCTTTTTTAGTCAGAGATATGAGGTTCTCCTCACTCTCATCCGTGGTGATGAACTGAACTGGGATAAGCCAGACAGAGTCTGGATGCATCAAAACGACACCACAGGTAGTAATAAATGATAGTATAAATGAATAATAATAAATGACAGTATAAAAAAAAAAAAAACATATTCCCGTAAACAGAAAATCATTTATTTTGTATATAAGGCAACCAATAATGTTTGTAATAACTATAACATTATAACAATAAACTAATAATCATGGTCAACCCTTAATGGTTTGCAATGCCGATTCTCCATCAAGTACAGTCAGGGTTACGAACAGGTACCTCTGTAATTAAAGAGCATTACAATGATCAATTTGAATGAATTGATTATGTTTTGAATCAATTATGCAGTGAATTATCAATTTAATACATATATATATATATGAATGGATGGATAAATAGAACTTAACTTACTGCATTAGAAATCCTAACATCTTCGTTCATTTCAACAGGGAAGTTCGATTAACAGGATGACCCAGTACATGATGGGACAGGAGACGTACACGCGTGCACTTACGGTGAGTCAGCTACCAGACCCAAGAAACCCAGACCCAGACCCAGACCAACCATCGAAATTAACGCCGTCAGAACGAGTCCGGAGTAAAATACTCCCTGATTTACTGTCGGACTCCCTGATTTGACATATGCAGGAGTCCATGTGACTCCCTGAAAATTCTGCTATATACTAACTAGTTTGCTCCAGAGCACGACCTCGTGGAATTACAGTATTTTTTCAGCAAATGTTGCAAAGAAAATTTGGCAGACGTGCAATCGCATGAATCTTCAAAATAACCACATGCGTTATTGTTAATATCTTTAGTTTCGAGCTTCAGACTTTGACTCCCTTGTTCAAAAGTTAATTTCTACCGCCGAGTTCATATCGCACAGTACCTCCCTGATATCCACACGGGGTAGAGTAATATTCGCTGCCGTAAAACCCATGTGTTGATTAAAACCGCAGTACGATGAGTGGATATCGGTCCGCACCCGGTTCGCATGGTATGTGCAATTAGTAACGTGCAATTAATTATGGAAATTATCGGTGGAAACTAGGAATTAATTACGCATATTGACATGTTATTCCCCAGGTTTCTTACTATGTTTTTTGATGAGTATGGTGGTATTATTTTAGGACGAAATTCTATCGTTATAATTGCGTACCCAAAACTGCACCTACATGATATTCAATAGGAGTTGTGCTGTACTGCTGTAATGTTCTGTGTCTTTATTACATTCTGAATTTCAGCGCTACTTGAATCGCCACGCTTATGGTACGTACGCGAGGACAGATGATCTGTGGACGGCTCTAACTGAGGTAAGAACGAGCTTGCGCATATAATTCCGATAACATGTAAATGTATGTGTTCGTGGGCGTGAGTGCATGCATGGCCATTGCGTAGCTGCGTCTATTCCGATAAGCATGTAAATGTAGTGTGTTTCGTGCGTCGAGTGCATGCATGGCGCATGCGTACATGCGTCTTATTCCGGGTAACATGTAAATGTATGGCGTTCGTGCGTGAAAGTGACATGCATGGCCATGCGTACGTGCGTCTATTCGATAACATGTAAATGTATGCGTTCGTGCGTGAGTGCATGGCATGGCGCATGCGTACATGCGTCTATTCCGATAAGCATGTAATGTATGCGTTCGTAGCGTAGTGCATCGCATGCCATGGCGTACATGCGTCGGTATTCCGATAACAATGTAAATGTAAATGCGTTCCGTGCGTGAGTGGATGCATGCCCATGCGTACGGCGCTATTCCGATAGCATGTAAATGTATGCGTTTCGGCGTGAGTGGCATGCCATGGCCATGCGTACAGTGCGTCTATTCCGATAACATGTAACTGTATGTGTTGCGTGCGTGAGTGCATGCATGGCCATGCGTACGTGCGTGACTATTCGCGCTAAGCATGTAATGTATGTGTTCGTGCGTGAGTGCATGCATGGCCCTGCGTACATGCGTCCTATTCCGATAACATGTAAATGTATGTGTTCGTGGCGTGAGTGCAATGCATGGCCATGCGTACATGCGTGCTATTCCGATAACATGTAAAGTGTATGCGTTCGTGCGTGAGGCATGCATGGCCATGCGTCGTGGCGTCTATTGCCGATAACATGTAAATGTATGCGTTCGTGCGTGAGTGCATGCATGGCGCATAGCGTAGCGTGCGTCTATTCGCGATAAGCATGTAAATTATTGCGTTCGTGCGTGAGTTGCATGCATGGGCCATGCGTACATGCGTCTATTCCGTAACATGTAAATGTATGTGTTCGTGCGTGAGTGCATGCATGGCGCTATGCGTAAGTGCGTCTATTCCGCGATACCAATGTAATATGATATGCGTTCGTGCGTGAGTGCAATGCATGGCCATGCGTACAGCGTCTATTCCGATACATGTAAATGTATGTGTTCGTGCGTGAGTGCATGCATGGCCCCTGCGTAGGTGCGTCTATCCGATAACATGTAAATGTATGTGTTCGTGCGTGAGTGGGCATGCATGGCCATGGCGTCCGTGCGTCTATTCGGCGGATAACATGTAAAGTGGCATGCGCTTCCGTACGACGTGCGTATGTGCATGCACTGCATCAAAGACGGTCTGCACAGCAGTGTTCGGGAACTAAACCAAGGTACTGTGTTGAAAGCGCTGTCACTCCCATTATGGCTGCATTAGCCTAGAGCAGTGGCTTCTTGAACTGGGAATGGGTTCATCGAAAGTGAATGAAATTATTTTGGGTGAATGAAACTTAGGCCAATCAACACATGAGGAAATTTAGTCGGCGGGATGAAATTTTGTGATAAAGACTCGATGGGTGAATGACAGCTGAATAGTGTAGCACCCAACTTTAGCCCGCTAAGGACGTTAGCGCCCGCAATATGTTCAAGGCATGAAATGTTTTTTTTTGCACCGTCCAA